TTCTGATTCTGCCATGGGAGGTTCTGTATAAAGAAGAAAAGCTAAGGGCATCTGCAGAGATTCTGATTTAATTGGTCTGTGGCGAGGCCCCAGCTGATTCTAAAGTGCAGCCACAGTTGAGAACAACTTTCTGATGGTCATACTTTTGTGACTTGAATCCTTTGCCCTTCTTTCTTTAATTTTATTATTGAATAAACTCCAAATATAAGAAAAATTAATAGTGTTCTGATTTTAAATTACATTTTACCTTTTGTCTTCAAAATCAGTGTATCATAAGGCTTCGTTGGCACAGTTGGAGGAAATGGCTGTTGGCTTCGGGCGTTAATGCCAGTGTAGCGATCCTTAGGTGATGTAAAGGTTGGGAACATGGCACCGCGACAGATGTGTGTGTGGTAGGGATGTTCAACTGGATACGGGGAGCAGATTTCACTGAGATTTAGTTGAGCAAACAAAACAAAACAGAAGTGCAGTTTTAAAAAATTAATCACTAAATATTTATTGGAACCTTCTTTATGGCAGGTACTGTACCATCCCAAGATTGCAGGTTCAATCCCGAGTCAGGGCACATACGAGAATCAACCAGTGGTTGCATAAATAGGTGGAACAATGATCGATGTTTCTCTCTCTCTCCTTCCCTCAAGTCAGTCAATCAATAAATAAAATATTTTTGTAAGACAAAAAATCTGGACTCCAGGCAAAAGTCATTTAGGAGGCCAGTCAGCTCTTTTTTTGTTTGTAAAGGAATTAGGTTTTCTTGCCCTTGTCACAAACTCTCTCACCTGAACATATTTTTGAATTGGGTATAGCATTATTTTATTGCTGATCATTAAAAACTTTTCCAGTTTACTTACTTTGCTTAAAAAGTGCCACATCAACTACTACACAGGACACAAGGTTGCCAACTCTAATGATATGAGAAGAGAATCAGGGCATTCCTAAATTCCAAATGACTGACATTCCTGAGTCATGACAATTAGTGTAATAACTGCTCTTTTAATGAAGCAATACTGACTATTTCATTTTATATACTACACATTTGTTATAAATAAATATTTCCAGTGTCCAATTCAGTGGATTCCATAGTAAACCATTCCCCTTAAATTAATTTCCTCTTTAAAGTCTACTTGAAAATAAGCATTTATAGTTTGAGCAAACTGTGTGAATAAAGTAGGAATGCACACATCCGTGCTCATGGAGAGTGTCCGATCTACTTGAATCAGGAAAGGATGGTGTTTGCTGTGGTCTAGTACAAAGCCCATGTTCTGGCTGGCTGGTGTAGCACAGTGGTCGGGCGTCGACCTATGAACCAGGAGGTCATTGTTCGATTCCTGGTCAGGATATGTGCCCAGGTTGTGGGCTCGATCCCCAGCTTGCAGAAGGCAGTTGATTGATGATTTTCTCTCTCATCATTGGCCTATCTGTCTGTCTGTCTGTCTATCTATCTATCTATCTATCTATCTCTCCCTTTCTCTCTGAAATCAATACAAATTTATTTTTAAAAAAGTAGAGATTACTCATTACTTTAGAAAGTAAGTTTTAAGGGCCAAGAACATGTTAAATTACAACAAAAGAACTACATGAATTCCATAAACCATTTCTGGGGAGTGGTCTCCTTGATAGGAAGTAAATTTGCAAAATGTGTGTGTAGTTCTCAGAATCTTCTGGTTTTGTCTGTGGCCAGGATTTTGGCTTCATGAAGAAGGGGTAAAAGGTGGGGGTTAGGAAGGCAGGGCAGAAATTTTTTCCCCTTTAGATTCTAGAAATGTGTATTTCCTAGCAAATAGTATTAAGTTATATCTAGTAATGATTCAGGAAGATGTTATTTATTCTAAGACCTGAAAACTATGGACTCTGTATACTGTGAGTCTATGTATGTTATGAGATTTCATTCAATATATTGCAAAGGTTATATTTGTTTGTTAAAAAACATATTGCAAAATTATACCTTCCACTAAATTTTCAGGTTTTATCCTACTCAGGTTTTGAATACAACAGTATTAAATGACCAGAATGTATTTTTCTTTCTTTAAGGAATAATATATTTTGCAGAAAATATTATGTTCCTGGTTATATTAAATGATTTATAAAGGTTACTTTCATTTTGTGTCTTGAGTCCCTAAATAGAAAAGAAATGATAAGAAAAGGCAGAACATCATTCACTTAACCTCACAGGCATTTAAATAAAGGAATTTGGTTTGTATACATTGTTCAGTTAGAGGCATGGGCTGTCTGAGCAAGATTTACCAAGATGTTTAACAAGATGATAACAGCTCTTTCCTGGGGATGTTTGAGGACCATGTCAAAGGAAGAGACTTTGGAATTTATCAGGCTACAAGCAGACAGGTGATCTGAGAAAAAGAACCCAACAAAAAGGGCTTTACTTTTCATATTTCTATTAAGAGAATTTGGAAAGTCCAAAACAAAGCTCTTCACATAGTTGTGTTTTTTAAAACCCCAAAACAACTAAGATTTAAAAATTTCTTTTGCCTTTTTGTTGTTGTTGTTAATCTTCACCCAAGGATATTTTTCCATTGATTTTTAGAGAGTGGAAGGGAGAGGGAGAGACAGAGAGAAACATCGATAAGAGAGAGAGACATTGATCAATTGCCTCCTGCATGCACCTCAACCAGGTCTGGGAAACCTGCAACCAAGGTATGTGCCCTTGATTAGAATCGAACCTGGGACCCTTTAGTTCATGGGCTGATGCTCTATCCACTGCACCAAACTGGCTAGGGATAAAATTTAATAGCCTTTTGAGCAGATCTTACCCTGTAACATAATTTTAAAATGTTACCTTATTATTTTCAGTTAAGACTGACAGGTACTTTAGTAGCATCAAGCACACCTAGTGTTTAGATCCTGTTTTCTAATACCATTCTCCCATAGAAGGAACTGGGCTCCTTGGAGAAATGGCTGACTCTAGGACTGGGGCAGGAAATATATGAGTGTGTAGCGTCTTGTACGCCAGAAAGTAAGGAACTATTCAAAGGAAAATAAAACCCTCACAACAGTAAGTGATATAGTACTAAACAAACAAACAAACATGTCAGAAGGACACCACACGGATGGGTATGTGGATATAGGAGCCAACTGAGAGAGCTCCCAGTGGTCAACCTGAGTAACAGAACAAGTAAAGTAGTACAGGGTTACTACTAAAGTACCAAAGAGAAACCAGAAACACCAATCAGAAAGGATATATGCACCCCTATGTTCATAGCAGCACAATTCACCATAGCTAAGATTTGGAAACAGCCTAAGTGCCCATCAGTAGATGAATGGATTAGAAAACTGTGGTACATCTACACGATGGAATACTATGCTGCTGTAAAAAAGAAGGAATTCTTACCATTTGCAACAGCATGGATGGAACTGGAGAGCATTATGCTTTTCAAATAGTGCCAGTCAATGAAAGAAAAATACCACATGATCTCACTCATTTATGGATAATTAAGACCATTATAAACTGATGAACAAAAATAGATACAGAGGCAGAGCAGCATCGAACAGATTGTCAAACTATAGCAGGAAGGCCGGGGAGGGTTGGAGGGGGGGCGGTAAGAGATCAACCGAAGGACTTGTATGCATGCATATAAGCATAACCAATGGACACAAGACACTGGGGGGTAGGGGAGGCCAGGGGATGGTCAAGGGAAAAAAAAAAAGGAGACATATGTAATACTCTTTGTAATACTTTAAGCAAGAAAACAAAATTAAAAAAAATTTCAAATAGCATGTACTCTTGATAGGATGTGATAAAAATGGCACTTTACCTCTTCCATCCCCAGACACATTAGCTGAGTCCAATCATGAGAAAAACACCAGACAAATCCCAACTTGGGGACATTCTGCAAAGCATGTGACCTGTAATCCTCAAAAGTGTGTAGACCATAAAAAAAAGGAAACTGAAATGGTCACAGCCAAAAGGAACCTAAGGAACTAAGGAGACTACCATATTCTTGGATGGGATCCTGGAAGACAAAAAGGACCTTAGGGGAAAAACTGAGGAAATCTGAGTAAAGTATGGACTTTATATTTGGCTCATTCATTGTGACACATGTACCATACTAATGTAAGATGCTAATAACAGGAGAAACTGGGTGTGAGGTATATAGGAACTCTACTGTTTCCCAATAATTTTGTAAATATAAAACTGTACTAAAAAAGTTTGTTTAAAAAAAAGATTAGCAGGGGGAAATCAATGATACTCTAACTTTGGACCTGTATCAGCCTCTCCCACATTCATGAAAAGTCTCATGTGTCCCCACACTAAGACCTTAGAATCGCCAATACATTTTTTCCTTGATTAGAACAGAGAAGGCCCTGGCTGGGTATCTCAAATGGTTAGAGCATCATCCCAATATGCCAGGGTTGCGGGTTTGATCCCTGGGCACATACAAGAAGCAACCAATGGGTGCATAAATAAGTGGAACAAGAAATCAATGTTTCTCTAGAATCAATACATTAAAAAACACAAAAGAACAGGGAAGGGAAATACAAGTGTATACTTACCCTACTGCTGAATTAGGTGGTTTGGGCAACCTAGAATAAAAACAGGAAACGAATCCTAATTTATATTAAGGACTTTTTAAAGCTTACATTTCTATTAGAAACTTGCTTAAGAATAAAGAAGTATCCAATTTTCCAGCTATAGTGTCTTTTATATAATATTGACTTTATAATATCCTGATTGACTTTCTGGAACAATGAATAGCTGACCAGAGAGATATGATGTCATCCTATCTCAGTTGTCTATTGATCATTTTTTTTACCATTGTGATTACTCTAATTTCAGTCCTACTAAACACCCGTTGTGCATTTCTTATTTGTAGTGCAGATAGGATTGCTACTTGTAATGATAACAGAGCTCTTGCTCTTATTGACATTCACCCTCATAGTCAAGCGGTAGCAAGTGCTCTGAGGCAGCCTGCCAGTGTGCATGTGGTACAATTACACGACCTAAAGTGACCTTAGTACTGTGTGTGCTTTGTCCTTTTGCCCAGGATTGCTGATCTCTCCATTGACAGAGAGGCTAGAACAAAACTGAACAAGGTACTGAAGGTACGCCTTTTCTGAACCAGTTCATCTGAAGTTTGTGTATTTACTAAATATGCTGAGCCAAGAAGTAATACTGCAGCCCAGGAACAAAGTCCACACTAGGCAAAGATTGTCATCCACTTTCATTGGGTTCTAACAATTAGTTTCTAACTATACAAATATTTCTAAATATTTCAGGTGTAAAAAATGAACAGAATGTTAATCAGTTGATAGTAAAGATCAGTAAAATTGAGTATATTCTTTTAATTTTTTATGTTTTTCTATTTAGGAAATGGTATATTAGCCATATAATTTTATTAGCCTATATTATAAATACATGATTCATATGAGCTATAACATGTTTATGCCCTTCTTTATTTGGACTCTAAGTTTGTGGGTTTGGAACTTAAAAAAAAACATACATGTCTTGTCTTCCGGTTATATTTCTGGTTGAGTTGGGGAACAAGGGGCAATGAATATAACAATCGAAGGGATCTAGAGTTAGTAGATTGGCTATTATTTGTGAAACATTGTCAGCATCTAAAAATTTTCTCATGTGACACATTTAGTGATGACATTGACAAATGTGTGCCTAAAATTGATTTGATTCAAAATGGAAATTTTTTTTTTTAAAGAAAAAGGAAAGCTTCTAAAGACAATCCTCAAAGTTTGAAAATAAAGTGAATGAGCCCTAGCTGGTTTGGCTCAGTGGATAGAGCATCGGCCTGGGGACTGAAGGGTCCGGGTTTGATTTTGGTCAAGGGCACAAGCCCAGGTTGCAGGCTCGATCCCCAGTAGGGGGCATGCAGGAGGCAGCCAGGAATTAACATAGTGATTCTCTCTCATCATTGATGTTTCTTTCCTTCTTCCTTCCTCTCTGAAATCAATAGAAATATATTAAAAAAAAGAAAGAAAATAAAATGAATGAAAAGAAAATATGCTCAGAGACACCAATTTCTTGACCTGAACCAGTCATACTCTTACCTACTTTTCAAAGTTAACTAATCCCAAAGGGATAAACAGGGCCTACTAACCACAAATAGCATGTCTTTTTGGCTCCCTCTTGTGGCTAAACTCTATATTAACTTCTTACTCACAAATAAATTCCTAATTTGTTAAAGGCAAAGAAGGGATATTTTCAGTTACTTCAATATTGTCAGTGTTTTATTTTTATCTGAAAATTAAAAATTATGATTTTGTATTGTATACCACCAACTATTTCAAAGAGTAAAAAATAATTACCATGTATTCCTAATCCAAAAGAGACTTAGGGAATAGTCTTTTTAAGAGTTATTTGTAGATTATAATAATGAATGTCTCATAAAATTCCAATTAAAATTTTTGTTGAGGGCACTTAGCATTTCCTGTGAACCTTTAAAGAAATGTAAATATTAGCTTGAGTAACTAGGTCAAAAGCAGGGAAATGGACCAAAGTGGCCTATTTAAATCCCTTCGAACATTATAATCTAATTTATATTTCCTACTTTTTCCTCACTTGTTTAAATATTAGAATTAGTAAGTTTAGGATTATTTGTTTTATTTTTGTCATTTGTTTGGTCTTGGTTTCTATTATTAATGATCTCTATAAAAAAAGGAACACTTGTATTTTCTAAAAGTTCCCATTTTGGTTTTTTTTAAAAACATTTATCATATAACTCATTTTCACTTAAAAAATGTTATTTGGCCTTGCTGGTGTGGCTCAGTGGTTGAGTGATGACCTATGAACCAGGAGGTCAGGGTTTGATTCTCTGTCAGGGCACATGACCCGGTTGCGGGCTCCATCCCCAGCAGGGGGTGTGCAAGAGGCAGCTGATCATTGGTCCTCTATCATTGATGTTTCTATTTCTTCCTCCCTCTCCCTTCATCTATGAATTCAATACAAATATAAAAAATGTTATTTGATCTCACATAAGAAAAAGAAACCCCAAACTTACAAAGAATCATTTCCATAGATGTCACTTTTTTTGTTCTGTGTCAAATAATAGAACTGTTCAATAGGAAGCCTTCTGAAAAGAAAGAAAAAAAATTAAATTGAACACTTTTTCAAATTAACACAGTGTAACAGTGAGACAGGAAAAGGCAAATAGCAAATAGACTAATACAACCATGTGTATTGGGAAATTCAGTATATGAAAAGGTGGCATTTTATTTTATTATATTTTTTAATCTTCACCTGAGGACATGCTTAGAGAGAGAAAGAACATTGATGTGAGAAACATTGATCGGTTGCCTTCCATATACACTCCAAGTGGGGATTGAACCCACAGCCCAGGTATGTGCCCTGATCAGGAATTGAACCAGCAACCTTTTGGTACACAGGCAGATGCTCAACCAAATGAGCAACTTGGGCTGGGCAAAATGAAGGCATTTTATATCAGTGGAGGAGGATTTACTTTCAATAAACAATGCAGGAAATTTATATACAATGCAGGAAAAATTCAATAGCTATTTGGAAAAAAATAGATTTATATTTCATAGTTTCGGATGGATTAAAAATCTAAAGAACTAGGAACTACATACAATTATTAAAATAAAATATACAAGAATGCATTTTTTTCTTGGTGATAGGAAAAACATTTTATATAATATTTTATTTTAAAAGTCAAAAACCAAAAGTAAATACAATAACATCAAATGAAAAACGTGAAGTCAGGACAGCATAAAAAGTTCAAATAAAACAGACTGGAGCCCTGGCTGGTGTGCCCTGAGAGGTCACCTGTTCAATTCCCTGTCAGGGCACATGCCTGGGTTGCAGGCTCCATCCCTGGTAGGGGGCATGCAGGAGGCAGCTGAGCAATGTTTCTCTCTCTTTCCCTCTTCCTTCCTCTCTCTCTAAAAATCAATAAAAACATATTTAAAATACAAAACAAAACATAGATTGAAAGAAATACTTGCAATAAAGATATGTAAAGGATTAATATCCAGAACATAAAGAACTAATAAAATCTATAGATAAAAGACAAACTATAAAAATGGAGAAAAAATAACAGAAAAGGAAATGTAATGGCTATTCCTAAGAAAAAATTTCTCAACCTAATCTGAGAAATGCATTCGATAACCAAGATATTATTTAGATGGGCAAAAATTATACAGTTTGATACTATAATACAGCTGGGCAAGAGTGTGGAGAAATGGATACTTTTAGCTACTACCAAGAGAATATAAAGCACTTGGGCTCTATCTACTAAAATTAAAAATATTTATATATTGTGACCCCAAACTTCCACTTCGGATTTTCCCTAGAGAAACGTTTCTGTACAAACATATTCATTACTTATAGTTAATGCAAAAAAAAAATATTACGAGAATGGCTAAGTAATCTATGATGTATCCATGTTGTGGAACACTGAGAAATTAAAAAGAATGAGATTGATCTGTATTTATAATCTCTAGATTATATAGAGATAAAAAGAACTAACTTGCCTAATACTATATATCAAATGTATCCACATCCTATATAATAAAAGGGTAATATGCAAATTGACCCTAACAGCAGAATGACTGGGAATGACTGGTCACTATGACACACACTGACCACCAGGGGGCAGACGCTCAATGCAGGAGCTGCCCCCTGGTGGTCATTGTGCTCCCACAGGGGGAGCTCTGCTCAGCCACAAGCCAGGCTGATGGCTGCCAGTACAGCGGTGGTGGTGGGAGCCTCTCCTGCCTCCTCAGCAGCGCTAAGGATGTCCGACTGCAGCTTAGGCCTGCTCCCCGCTGGCAAGTGGACATCCCCCGAGGGCTCCTGGGCTGCCAGAGGGATGTCTGACTGCCAGCTTAGGCCCAATCCCCCCAGGGAGCGGGCCTAAGCCAGCAGGTGGTCATCCCCCGAGGGGTCCCAGACTGCGAGAGGGCACACACCGGGCTGAGGGACCACCCCGAATGCACAAATTTTTGTGCACTGGGCCTCTAGTATAAAATAATACCATATATTTTCAATGGGTGCCCATATAATCCTGTAAACTAAAGGTGTGAAAGGAGATACAGGGTAGTGGTGACTGTAATTCTCTCCAGGAAAGAGACTGGGATTGGTGGGGTGGGCCTTTTAGATTTTTAAAAAAGATTTTTTTTTTTCCAGAGCAGTTTTAGGTTCACAGCAGAGTTGAGAGGACGTTTTTAGAGCAGGCATCCTGTCTTTGGGGGAACTAGTTAATTGGTAATTGGTTCAGAGCATGTGCCACACTCTTTAGGACAACACTCAGCCATAACTGAATAGTATTTCACACTACTCAAAAAGATAACTTCTGATGGTTAAAAATCGAAGGAATTGAGAGAAATACATACAAATATTAAAATAAAATAGACAAGAATGTATTTTTTTTCTTGGTGGTAGGAAAAACATTTTAAATACGATTTTTCTTTTAAAAGTCGAAAACATCGATTAGTTGTCTCCCACATGTACCCTGACTGGGGATCAAACCCACAACCTGGGCCTGTGCCCTGAGCAGGAATTGAACCCGTGACCCTTCAGTGTATGGGAGGAAGCGCCAACCTAGCCACACCTGCCAGAGAGGCAAGGGTTGAATTTAAAAGGTGCAATGGTCTTACCAGATTTGCAGAATGGTAGAATAGCCTATTAAAGATTCGGTTATGGCTGAGTGTTGTCCTGGAGTGTGGCACATGCACTGAACTACTGACCAATAGTTTCCCCCAACGACAGAATGCCTGGCCTAAAAAGCACAGGGTGTAAGTGGGAGACTGCCTCTGACTGTTTTCTTCCTGTTACACTTGAGAACTAACTTTTACTTCCTGCACACCCCTGGGGCTATGCTGGTCTAGAGGTCGAGAGAGCAGTGCTTCCATCAAGAGAACACAACAACGGTCCCATTGAACTGGAAGTTGAAGGGATGAGGTAATTGGGGCTCCTTTTGACTCTGGAGAAAACAGGCAAGAAAGGACTGTACCAAGTAGGCAGGGATGATTGATCCTTAACATCAAGGACAAGAGGACTGCTGCTATACAATGAATGGGGGAAAGGAGTATTTCTGGAACCTAAATAAGCTCTTGACACCTCCTAGCATTGCTTCCCGTGGCATAGAATTAATGGAATACTGTAGCAGCCTCACACTAAGAGCTTAGATCTCTCAGGAACAGAATTTGGGGTTGTCCCATCAGGTAATGAACTACCAGCTCATGTACTGGCTGAGGGCAAGGGAACTTGGAATGGGCAGTGGAGGAAGGAAATTATAACATAAGAGCCTCATGCCAGCTGTAGAAATAAGATCTAGTCACATCCCATATTTTCTTCCTTGTTGTGTCCTATATACTTTTATGCATTAACTAATTTTTACTTTTTCCTTATTATTTCATATAGGGTGTGTTGGTGATAGGTTTATTAAGTGCAGACATGTGGACTATCGTGACAAGATTATGACCGAACTAGACAGGAGTGAATGTACACAGAGATCCTAGACTTGGAGCTGGATGCAGGAACTGATGAGATGTTGGGTCTTCCCTTTTGAGGAGGTGAGCACGTTTTCATTTGTCTGCTTTTTACTGCTTTACTTGGGCTTTGGAACGGTCATTGGCTGCCACATGTTCCTGTTGTTACTGTTTCTCTCTCTCGCTTTGACTTGTCTTTCCTAATTTCTTTTAACTGCTTTAGAACAACAAGCTAGTTAGCTAGATTATTAGTAAACCTGGTAACCAAGATTGCTAGAGAAAGCAGGAGTAAGTAAGCTGTGTGTGAAAGTTTGATGGATTTTATTTTTAATAAATTTCATAATTTTTAGCAAATAATTCATGTGACATTATATTTACTGCTCAGATTTATCTTTGCTTTCTCTTCAGTTTTAACCCGTTTTACATAAAGTTACTGAGTGACTTTAGGATTTGTTAATGATTATTGAGATATTTTAATAACTGAAAACAATGCCCAATAGATTCTAATAACTACAGATTCATGAACAAATTAGAAATCAAAAGTTCCAAAAATTCAAGAACATCTGTACACATTAGGCCAGCTATTTGCTCAAGCAAAAACATTTTTAATTAAATCTCTCAGGATATTCCCATTTAGTTTTAGATAAAATGAGGTTAGCAAGGGAATTAAATTAATAATCAAAATTTCTGATAATAACACTTGAACATCTCTAAGGACAGCAGACATCCATAAACACAGATTTTTTTTTTTTTTACTGACTTCACAATTAGATATTATATAATTAGTTTTTCCATCTGTGTCTTCTTATAAATAATGGGGGAAAGGAGTATTTCTGGAACCCAAGTTTGGAGGCAGATTTAAATTAGAAAGGTCTCACAATAGAAATAAAAATGAATAATAAATACCTCTGTGTGAACGGCAGAAAGATGACTTACCTTGGCCAGGTATCTCCACCATACCCATAGTGCTGATGTCCCTTGCCCATGGCATGGAGAGGGTCACATTTTGGCCTGTGTTCCTCAGGGAGTGAAATGGGTATCATCCCACCATATTCCTTGTCAGCACCCCATGGAAGCCTGCACTGTTGGAGCGACTCCTTCAATTCCTGATACCTGTGAAAAAAGAGAGACTTTTAAAATAGCTTCAGTATGGAATACTATGGTCTGAATATTTGTGTCCCCCCAAATTTTTATGTTGAAATCCTAATGCCCACTGTGATGATATTCAGGAGGTGGGGCCTTTAGGAGGTGGCTAGGTCATGAAGGCGAAGCCCTCATGAATGGGACTAACACTCTTACAGAAGAGACCCAGAGAGCTTGCTGGCTTTGCCACCAGGTGAAGATACAGCAAGAAGGTGCCAGCAATGAACCAGGGAGAAGGCTCTCACCAGAACACGAGCCTGCCGGTGCCACGACCCTAGACTTCCAGCCTCCAGAACTGTGAGAAATATGTTTGTTGTTTACGAGTTACCCAGCTACCTAGTCTGTGCTAGTTGGTTAGAGCTGCCCAAAAGGCTAAGACAAACAACTAAAATTCCTACAGCTTCCAAACTATTTTTAGATTATATTTTCAGATTACAGAATTCTCAGTGCTGGGTAGATTATAAATGGTTATTTAGGCATCATTGGACTGCTGAGGGAAGGAGGTTAAATTCCTGAGGGCTTATAGATTATCTGTAGTTTTTTTTTTCTTCAATAATAGTTGTATGTATGCTTACATCTTTTTTTTAAAAAAATATATTTTATTGATTTTTTACAGAGAGGAAGGGAAAGGGATAGAGAGTTAGGAACATCAATGAGAGAGAAACATTGATCAGCTGCCTCCTGCATATCCCCTACTGGGGATGTGCCCGCAACCAAGGTACATGCCCTTGACCGGAATTGAACCTGGGACCCTTCAGTCCGCAGGCCAACGCTCTATCCACTGAGCCAAACCGGTCAGGGCAATGCTTACATCTTTTAAAAGTTTTTATTGAGCTATAACTCACATGCCATATAACTCATCCATTTAAAGCGTACAATTAAGTTGTTTTTAGTATACTCACAAATATGTCACTTTCCAGAATTTTGAACATTACATTCCAATCTTGGGAGGCTTAATTTAGCCAGCAGTGATGATTGGAAGGCATGATTAAAGGAAAGCTCAGAACAAAGATACTTTAATTTTTAGTTGGCAGAGTGCTAATAGTCAAAAAAATATTTAGTAATCAGAAAGCAATGGAATGAATCCAGAAACAAAATGGGAACGTATAATGAAATCTGAAGCAATTGTCAAGGCACTTCCTTAATTAATATGTTTGTCTCCCTAATGAACAAGACAACTTGCTAGAGCAAGCATGTCAAACTTGCGGCCCGTGGGCCGCATGTGGTCCACAATGAATACTTTTACGGCCCAGCCAATATAACGGTATGTAAGAAACGTTTTAATAAAAATTTCATAACTTAATTTTTACAATATCCTGTTATACATAATTATTTATAACGAACTATGTTTGTTAATGACTGATTACTATAATCCTGTTGCATTCATTTCCCTTACGTGCCATACATGCAGGCACACCATTTCTCTCCACTAATACTAGCAGTGAATATTTTAGCAGCCGATTGCCACGTCATTAGTCTTGTACTGATTTGTTTGGTGTGCACAACAGGAAATGTTTCGCTTTCGGAGAACAAGAAAAATAGGTTTATTTGCGTTACACTTATTAATTTGCACAGTTATTCAGTGTCTGGGAAATTAATGTTCAAGAAAAAATGTTAACTTTTATTAAAAATGTTCGATTATTTTATGTTAACGATTACTCATTTATTTCAGCTCTTTGTATTCAGTATGTCTCTATCGAAATAAACGTATGTTTCTATGAAAATTGAAGCTTTTGTGTTTTTGCGGCCCCCATAAACTTAAACCTTGTTTATTTGGCCCATGTTAGCCTTTGAGTTTGACATGCTTGTGCTAGAGATCAGAAGATGTCAACCGAATGGAAAAAGGATATAGACATCTGTGATTCTTAATAGCTGTACCTGTCATTCTTAAATTTTCAATGGAAGAAATACAAAAGTACACCATCAATTTATTAATATTTTAAAAAGCAACCAACTGAGTATATATACAGGGTGAGGCAAAAGCAAACCAGCTTCTTCTTGTATTATTATTATTTATTGTAGTATTTTCCATACAAATAACTACAAGCCTACTTTTGCCCTACCCTGTATTAATGACTACTGTAATTGCTTCAAAATTTACCAGTGAAGAACGTAACTGAAGAATAAAGATTAAGTTGCCCTAAGACAATGGGTGAGCCAGAACCATAATCCTGATTGTCTTACTGTTTTCAGGCTTTCCATTAGCCCAATGGTTCTCAAAATAAGCTGGAAAACTCTTACAATGCAGATTCCCTAGACCCACCTCAAGCTTACTGAGCTAGAACATCTACAGAGAGTGCCCAGGAATCTGCATTTTTAGAAAGCTTCTCAGGTGATTTTGATGTACCCTGTCTGTATACCATTGGGTAACAATGGTGCTAGACTGCGTTACCTATTCTGGAAAGGAAATAAAAAAGTAGGCTGATGTGAGGAAATAATTTTGCACTGCTGTTAAAATTACCAACTGAGTTCAAAATACATTATGATATTAAAAAAAAAGACATCCCCTTAAGCACATCCATGTTTAGAAAATTAAGCTGCTGAGAGCTAACATATGCTAGGACTCATGTTCATCCTTACCATTATGAAGGGTAATTTCTAGAAGCTAGGAGCTTTTCGTTTTGTTTTGCTTTTGAGATTTGAGTTGGGAGTTATTGACCCTTAACCTGGTCTGAAGAAATAAGCCTCAGCATTGATAGAACAGAGGTACCAATCAACGTTCTCTTGATGACACTTTCCAGAGCAGTTCCAAATGACAACCTGGAGAGAAAAGTCAACTTCTCATTCTGTAAGCTGCCCGGCTGATTCTTGAGAGGGAGTTAACAGGAGAGGTTCTGAGAATATATGATCATCCTGACTTTCCCACTTAGGGACTATGAAAGGAAAGAAGTCCATGGAGTAAAAGAGAAAGCAAGTTTTAGTAATCAGAAGCCAGGAACATGTTTATACCTAGGACATGTGTTTATTTTATAGTCAGTTAACAAAAAGCAATTACTTTCTTAAAGATGCTTCTCTTACATTTCATGCCAGTTAAAGGGTTTTGGAGCCAATTATAAATCAACCATAAGATCATTTAGCTAGAAGGGATCAAAATCTCAGTGAAAAGCCTTAGAGTACTTTTGAGGGGATAAAGATCAATCAGATATGGCAGACCTAAATTCCTACTCCGAAACCTTTTGGCCAAGTATAAAACCTCACAATGCTGCTTTTAAGCCAACTGCTCATCCCCAGATCACACATGATCTGCTAACGGTTCTCCCTGACTCAGGGGAAGCCCTGCCTAATCGAATGGCCCTTGGAGCTGAGAGGAATTTTGGGCTGACAACTGCTTTTTGGAATCAGGTTAATAGTAGAAAAGAAGGTACAGCAAGGACTAACTCAGGAGAAGTGAGCTGAGCCCTCTCTCCACAAATATGACAATATTCCTCTTCATTTAGTGAAAATAGTTTACAAAAAACACATTGAATATGATCTTTAAATTTAAAAAAATGGAGAGAACACATGTTGAGATGTTAATGGTGGTCATTTCTAGGTAAAGAACAGGTATTCTGTACAAAGGAAGTACATAATTTTTCTTTCTGTCAAACAATGGGAAATTTGTTTTCTTTATGGATTTCCATGGTTTCTAAAGTAATCATAAGGAAGGTGTTAGTTTTATAATTAGGAAAAAAACCTTCTTTTTTCTTTTCATATTACAGACCGGAACAGATCTATGCAAGATCAAGATGGTGAAAGCTGAGATGGAAGAAGAAAGAAGAGTCAAGTCTGTTGAGAGCCAGTGTGTAGTCTGACAAAGAGAACTCATTGAGGGCCAAAAAAATCTTCACATTCTTGAAGGGCTGCTATCATGGAGATGACTGATTTTCTTATTTTACATGGCTTCAGAGGGAAGAACCAGGATCAGCAGGTGGAAATTACAAGGGGGAATTTTCTCAGTAGGAAGAAAATTATCTAATAATCAGAAACATTCCAAATGGACTTCCTGTGAGGTAGTGATGTTCCAGACTTGCTGTCTGATTTCTTAATGAAATAATTCTTAAATGAAGAGGTCTTAAAGAAATAATTCTAAATGAAATTAAATTAAAAAATAAAAACAAACAAACAAAACAACCACACGGGCTAGTTTTTCACCCATCCAAGTGTGAAATTACTCCACCCCCTCAAAATGATTCAAGTAAATACAATGCAGAAAAGCTGGCACTAAGATCTTGGAGAATTTGTTTTACCTATTACTTCATACATAACATGGGAATAGTAATAGTACTATCTTTTAGGGTTGTTGTGAGGATTAAAAGAATCCTATATAATTAAGCATAATATGCTCAGTGTCTGGTCGACTGGTTGGCCGTTCAAGTGTAATATGCTAATGATATGCTAAGGCCACTCAACCGCTCGCTATGATGTGCACTGACCACCAGGGGGCAGATGCTTCGACTGGTATGTTAGCTTGCTGCTGGGGTTTGGCCAATAGGGACTGATCGAGAGACGGGCCGGACACGCCCTAGAGCTCTCCCTCTGTCCCTCCCTGGCCCCAATTGTGCACTGGTGGGGTCCCTTGACCTGGCCTGCGCCCTCTCACAAACCAGAGAGCTGGTTTCGGCCTGATCCTGCAGGCTAGGCAAGGGACCCCATTGGTACATGAATTTGTGCACTGGGCCTCTACTTATTACATAAAAAGCATTTAGTAGAGTGCCCACACATAGTAATGACTCATTATACAGTAAATGCAATTTTAATCATAATCTGCAGTTATTGTGTTACAGGAAATTTGGTAAAGCAAAAATTTAGGTGCAACTATGAACAAGATCCTGGGAATATTTTTAACCTGACTGTGTTATAGAATAAAATTGTTTGAAACAGATTAATTTTCAAATGAAGGAACCAATCATCCTAGAGTTTTATAATGGGTGAATTTGATGTCTACCTTTTAAAAATACACACCAACTTACTTTTTATCAAGTTCCTACCAGATGTGAGCACCTTAAAGTTTAGGTAATTGTCATGTTATGCTTTCCCAATCATGTGATAAACAGAAGAGCCCATAACCATAAGTGTTTTTTTTTCTCTTACATATACAAACATATTAAAACCCTTTTAAACTGTTTGGCTTTCTCTAGTTTTTGTTGTACCTGTCCTCCGAGGCAGTTGGGCGAGGAGCTGTTTGCAGCGGAGTGTGCACTTCATTGGAGTAAAAGGTGTCTGACAGGAGGTCCGCTCCTTCACGCTCCCTGCAGCAGCAGGGCCGGTGGTGGATCACCTCCATGCTTCCCGGCTAAAAAGGCACAATCTGGACAAGAGAAGGAGGGCACACTCGACTTGGCAGCGGGTGACTCGGTCGCTGTCACAGGGACCCTCCCTCAGGGCCGGCAGGAAACAGGCTATGCTAAATTGTCCACCCCAACGCTGCAGAGGAGCCAGGGGCTTCCTCCCTCCCGACAGCCCCTCCGTGGACCCTGCGGTGGCACATCAATCATTACTATGGGAATGAATTTTAACAGAAACAGATCCGCAAAGTGGAAGATGTTCCCGAGTAGAGTGAACCCCTGTAGGTCCGTCCTACAAGGGCTCCACTTCGCGGACATGGGCTGACGTTCAGTTCTGGCCTCACATTTAGCCGTAACCGTTCAGGAACTTAGCTGATCAACGCGCCCCCCATGGCCCCCCCAATGGAGCAGGGAGACTCATTATTCAGCAGATCAACAGCGGTGCTTCCGAAGACTTCGGGTGTCCTGAGCGAGGGAAGCCCTTGGCAGAGCGGGGCCCCAAAGGGTGAGAACCCCACCCCGCCCTCGGGCTTGGAGGGGGACCCCCAGGA